GACGAAGGAAATGGAAGATTACAAAAATTGTAATTATAAATATTAATTAATAATTAATTGAGTTTTATTCAATCTTGCAAAACGTATATTTCGTGAGTGTAAAATAAAATTCCTTTCAATAGTATTTATATTTTTTAATTAATAGTAAACAAATGTAATAAAATTAATAATAAATAAATTTTTTTCATAAAAATAAATATAAATTTAACAAATGATATTGTTCATAGGTTGATCAGTTTTAAATGAAATATATGGCTAGGTTTACACCCTGAATTTAGGCCGCGGCCTATACCTTAAGTCCGACCTAAATTATTTAGGCCGCCTGCTGTAAACATTTGATAGACGGCCAAAACTAGCTTCAGATCAGACTTTAGGTTGAATTTGTGGTATAGGCCGCGGCCTAAATGTCCCGGTGTACCCGTGCTCTTTGTTAAATGTAGGATAAGTTGCTACTTTCACATATTATATGTCAATTGATAAACCACTCACTTCAATTCGTGACTGTCGCGAGCGATTGTATTTTGTGTGTCAAGAGTTAGCATACAGAAAAGATACAGTTTTTTATGCAATTGATCAAAGACAAATCGCAAGAAAAAGACAAAAAAGAACATTATGAAAGCGAGAGAGAGAGAGAGAGACAAAGAAAAAAGGTATGTATCTTTTCTTGACATGTTCTAACTCTTGACACACAAAATACAATCGCTTTCAATAATATTTATATTTTTTAATTAATAGTAAATAAATGTAATCGGTATCAGAAAATTTTCCAATTTTTCGAAAATTAATTGACCGAATCTCAAACAATTGTATATGAAGTAGAGGTTGAATTTTCTGGGGAGTGCTATAAAGTGTATTATTTTTCGTTACCGATCTTTTTGCAAACCGGTTACAAAATTTTTCCAATTTCTCGGGAAATAATTGAATCTTAAAGAATTACATTATGAAATAAAGGTAGAATTTCCCCGGGATTGCTATAAAGTGTACAATTTTTTGTTACCGATTTTTTGGGAAACCGGTTACAAAATTTTTTCAAATTTCCGGGAATTGAAAAAGAATTCGAAGATGTAGGTTAGAGTTTGAAGAGAAAAAATATCAAAGGTGCTGCTAATTAATGAGTGAGTTTGGGGAGAGGGGGATAGATTTTGAGCCCGCGCGAAACGCGGGCGAAAAATCTAGTATGGTATAAGTACCGTCGTCTGTATGTATGTCTGTCTGACCGCGAACTACTCATTCATTAGTGGACCGAATTTTTACGAAAAATATATAAAGTAGGGGTCGAATTTCCCGGGGAGTGCCATAAAGTGTATAGTTTTTCGTTACCGATTTTCTGGAAACCGGTTTTTTTAATTTTTCTAATTTTTTAAGAAATAATTGACCAAATCTTAAAGAATTATATATGAAGTAGGGGTAGAATTTTCCGGGGAATGCTATAAAGTACATAGTTTTTTGTTACCGATTTT